CTGTGAAGTGACAAACCTTAACGAATACAGAGACAACGTCTTCAAGCTACTACCCCAGCTCACGTACCTGGACGGGTACGACAAAGACGACAAAGAGGCACCAGATTCTGATGCTGAGGTTTACGCAGAGGGCCTGGATGATGATGAGGAGGACGAAGACGGTGAGTTAAAGGCTGCAGCCAGAGTGCTTCACGTGTTCTTTATAGCATCTCTTAAAGTCACTAATGTTGGTGTCTGAACATTTTGCCTAATAATCACCCTCCAACTGGTTTCACCCAGATGTAGATGAGGAGGAGTACGATGAAGACACAGCACCAGGAGATGAGGAGGAGGAAGAAGGAGAGGAAGATGAAGAGGAGAATGAAGAAGAGGAAGAGGAGGACCTAAGTGGAGAGGTGACGATGAGTTTGATTTGCACTCTTTAATGGTTAAAAATATTCAGTCTGAAAAACCACGCTAACGTTACCTTGTGTTTTGAAAAGGAGGAAGAGGAGGAGGATTTGAATGACAGGGAGGTTGACGATGAAGATGATGAGGGTGAGTATAATGGTGGCTGACTTTGACTTATCATCTGTCTCCCAATTCCATAGTACATATCAAGAGTATACAGACTATAGTATAGAATCAAAAGATTAGTATAGTTTCTATACTACATACTAATCTTTATAGTGTAGAGTATTTGCAGTTCATACACAAGAGATCAACACACCCAAATGTTTCCCTGTGGAGTTTTCCTGTAGACAGATGGGTTTTTTTTAACACATTTAGTGTATCCTTGAGGCCTGACACATTAAACCTTCCCCATAAAACATTTGCAAAGCTGCTTTAAAAAAATGATTTTGTACGTTGCTTACACATGCTTACTAAATAGTTAACCGCTTTTGTTTAGGCATTGTCACGCTTCTTTGTGTGTTACCACCACTGCAACAGCAGAATTGCACAAACTAGTGAGAAAACATGAACTCCTTAATGCTACTGGTGATCAAAAACTCAAAAAGAAACCTTTAAAGCTGGGGTAGGAAGTTTTATTTTGGTGTCATTGGGCAAAAATCCCATAGTAACCTTTCAGCATATTGTAATTCAAGTGGTCTGAGGACACACAAGTCTTCTGCACCTCCTTTTGGTTCTGTTTTCAGGCCTTAGAAAAACTAGCCTGTGACTGGTGACCTTGGCCAGTCACAGAGGGAGGGCGTTCATTTTGGCTGTTAAATGAATGCAGATGCAAATGTGGTCCCATTAGATAGTGAAAGCCTGATTCAATGGCAGAAAAGCATGCAGAAAAAGTTGCTATTCCACCATTGGTAAATACTGCCTACACACTGAGAGCAACCCAAAAAATTCAGGCGCAGAGTCTGCGGTACTGAAACAAAACTCGTGTAGATATCAGTTACGCATTTCAGTGATGCACAGAAAATGTTCCTAATAGTTTAGTCTTATGCTAACCAGAGCAAAAGACTAACAGCTGCAGCTATAGCTAATTTAAGTTCACAATTATGAAACATTAGCTAGCTAGAGCCTCTGCCTCTTCAGACCACCTCAATGGGAGGACAGCGGGCAGCAGCGCTAGAAACAGACCCTCTGTCAGCGGCTGAAGCAACCCAAATCCAACCAGTGCAAACCCCAGCTCTGGTTAACTGGACTCCCCGCTGGATCAGCAAACTTTCTGTTGCTGCTGTTACATGTTAGACCTGGTGCTGCCACTGGATACCAGCCCGCTGTGACACTTGGTGTTGGAGTTTGCGCTGGCAGATTTTGAGCCGCTGACCCAAGTTCTGTCTCTAGAGCTGCTGCCTGCTCTCCTCCCGGTCAGGCAGTCCACAGTGGCGGGGAGTGATGTGTAGAGACCATGCTATTCTTGTGTCATTTGTGGTCACAGAAAAGGAGTGAGAGTGGAGCAAGCAGATGTGCTGCGTACAGCTCTACAACAAATTAAGATTAAATAAATCAAAGTATGAGAAAGACTGGGTTTTTGTATGAAGTGCCACAATATGCCTGTGTTCGACGGTGTAGTTTAAACTCGTTTTTTAAACAATTCTTTTAAAGCTTTTTTCAGAAAACTGCCCAGCACAGCTTTAACTGTTTTTATTCTAATGTTGTGTTCACACCAAACATGATGCAAATTTTAGCATTTCGTTACTAAAATATTTTGTATTGACTTGCTTCATACGCACCTGAAATTGCTAAATCAATGAATGAACTTCCACTGGTACATCCTTGGTGTCATATGTCCCAGGAGGATCTCAATGCTGATTGGCTATCGCAGTGCTAATCTGTTGCTGAAGTTCAGATTTTTCAACTCTCACGAATAAGTGTATGATACGAAATCATGTTACTCACTTTATTTGCGCCGCTTAATTGCGTCCATTGTGCTGCCCAGCGAGAATTTGCATCTTTACATTAACTTTTCATGTAGTTCTCTTGCTTGAATTGTTTTATTAGTGCCCTGTGTGAACACAACATAATGCAGTACTACTAATATCATGCAAAGGCAATCAAAATCCATCTTTAGAAGGACACTGTCAATTAAACTTCATAAAAAACAGCGATGGGTTTTGCTAAAAATCCAATAGTTACTTTTTGACTTCTGATGTGTTCCTGGAGCCGTTTCATCACCAGCCACTAGTTGCAGGAAACTCCACCAGTTCTTATGCACTTCGCATTGTGGTAAAATCTTTCAACACTCAAAAATAAACGGTCTTTAGTTTTGAGAGTCCTTAATTTTGTCACACCCTACGTAGTCACAGTCTGCTTAGAATCAGTACATACTATAGATTTGGGACTCCACTGATTCAGAAAGTCTTTATTGTCCATCACAAAGCCATGTAACTTTGTCTTGCAATGTGAAAACTGCGCGCAGTTTGAGCCAGCATTGCTGTCGTCATGACGCAGAAACCTGAAAGAGAAGTTTAACAGGAAACTTTGATGTGATGTGAATGATTGTGGGTGGTTGTGCCTTTTTAAATGTGACTCTTGTCTTCTAGAAGAAGAGCGAGGTCAGAAGAGAAAAAGGGAACTGGATGAAGAAGGGGAGGAAGATGAAGACGATTGAGAGTCCTTATGAAGCTAAGTTGTGAACTGTTTTAAACTTGTATCTCCCAGTCACTTCCCAGCAACCCCACGTATTTTTCCCCCAGTTTCATATTGCAGTAGGAGTGGTTTTTGTTATTGGCCAGTCAGGTAGACGGGGTTGTCTGGAGAAATAAGTTAAATTTATGTACCTTTGATGCTCCCGTGTTCCAGTCTTTACAGTCCACTTTTAACTGCTACGTGGACGCCAATTTTGTAATATCGAATAATAGCAAAGATAAACCTTTTTAAGATATGTTTTTCTTTTCTCACCGTTTGTGTAAGACCAGTTTCTGATGACTTATGTATTTTAAGACCCCCCCTTCAAAAGAAAAAACAAAATGAAACAAAAAAAGAGTGCATGTCTAACACATTTTAAAGTCAACTACTGGATTTCATGTATGGCTGTCCTCTCCTCGTCTTAAACTTATTTTTGCATCGTACTTTTCTTTTTATTTTTTAATGTAAGTTATGTATTTGTAGTGTCACCAGTATGCCAATACTCTCTGCTGTCCTGGTGTGAAACTTCTGTCTGAACATGCACAGTGTGACCCTCACAGGGCATATTTTTAAATCATAGCAAAAAAATGTCTGCCCTTGTCAAAGCTGCTCCTCCTCCTTAAACCCTCAGCTTTGATAGTTCGGAAATTACGTGTTCTTGTAAATAATGACCAAATCTATTTTTTTGTATTCTCTTTGATGATGGCAGACATTGAACAGACATCTGAGGTGAAACTATGAATTGTAATAAGATATTAAATATGTATGCTGCTTTATCTAAAATACGCAGTGTGAAATTTCTTGGATTTGAACATAACTTTGTATGCATAATCTTTCCATAAAGAGAAATGTTCAACATCAGATCTCATTATCGCTTTTCTCCATGTTCTTTTCTGTGACACACAGGTGGCAATGTTTGAATTTGTGGTGGTAGTGTAGAGAAGTGCTTGATATAACTGGAGGTTACAACCGCAACTTATGTGCATTGAAAATTTATTGTTTCAAAGTGTAAACTCTGGAAAACGGTCAGGTATTTGGACTTTGTTTTTCACTATTATAAGTAATGGTCAAATTGGCCTACCTCAGTGATTTTTCACTCTATGTTAAATCCACTGTCATCAGCCAAATTGTTTCTTTCTCCCTCCCATTCACTTCAATAAATCCCTTTTATATATGTTTTGAAGTTTGTGGTCCTTGTACAACACAGCCAAGTCAAATGGTGAAGCGTGTATTCCAGGTTCAGGTGATTAGATACTGATGATGATTTAAAACTAATCCAGGAGGCAATTTCCAGCAGACTGAGATGTGATACTGTTTACTCTACACTGGACAAGTAGACTGAGGCCTAGTCCACACGTACACGAGTACTTTAAAAAATAAGGGTTTTCCCACCTTTGTTCTCAAAAAGAATCCTGTTCACACACACACACTTGAAACGTCAAAAGCGTGCTGATAAAACCCCTACCCTAAAGCCACAGTAAGAAGAAGAAGCTGTAAGCCAATCAGAATCCTGAAAAAAATTACTCTTACCACAAGCCTACATGTAGCCGTGACCTCTGAAGCACATTCTGACACCTCTGTTCCTCAATGTAGTCAAAGAGTGACTGTGCGTGTATGTGTAAACAGGTTAAAAAAGCCCTGGTAGTAACAGCAGAATTAATTGAGATATTATTAAAATGGCAATATTCAAATCACAGGAGCTGCAATTTTTTGATATGGGTAAAATGTATCACAACCTACCTTTATAAATCAAGAACTGGTGCTGCAGAGATGCCCCTGCCTACAAATCATATTTCACATGTGAAGGAACGTACTTATTTGGTACTGACCCCAACAACAATCACATCATTTTTAGATTTTTTTTCATTGAGAATGAAATGCAAAAATCACCACTCCCACTAAAACTGTGACTCATCACAATAACAGTATTTGTCAAAATAGTTGCGATATGTTTTTTTTTTTTTTTTTTTTTTTTTGCATATCGTGCAGCCTTACTGCCTCATTTGTGATCACTCATAAAGAGGTAAAGGAGATAACAGCGCACACTCTGATGTTACAAGCGAGAACCTAAGTTCTCTTTCATAGCATTCATTTCGTGTCGGTAGACAGTTAAGCTAGGTCCTGGAGAGACAGTTAGCTTGAGGGGTAAAGTTGGGAATTTCTGCTTGCAGCGAGAAGAGGTTTTTGAATAACTGGCAGTGTAGTGTCAGGCCCTTTTATAGGGGGAGGGTCCCCACCCTCTCTGGCACTGACACTTAATTCCAGCCATTACTGGCTGGCAGAATGCAATAGGAGCTTCTGATGAGGTCACGCTGTTGGTGTTCCCAATGTGAGACACTCACTCATGCTACTCAGAGAACCAGGGTTACGCAAGTAACCTAAAGTTTTCCCTATCGACACGCCAACACTGAAGAGTTTCTGTTCACTTTTGATCCTTTTTACAAACGGTCTGTTTTCAGTGACCCAAAATGCAGTTTTCATGTGGACAAAAGGCCAAAATGTTTTCACTTAAACCCGTGTATGTGTGGACTAGGCCTTACAGCACTACCAAAGACCAAATATAGCAGAGTTAAGTGGGGGTAACACTGGTCTGTTGAAGCCAAAATTCCATTCAATATTTGTAAAAAGACTTTCAAGCATTTTTAAAGCATAAAAGCCTTTCTGTCCTGTTCTACCTTCCCAAAAAATTGACCAGTTAAAGAAAATGTTGCTATTTTTCAACATGGACCATATTTGCCCATGTTTGTATATCAAAGTATCTAATGAGAGCACCGTTTTTTGAAATCGGTCCAGTGTTCAACAAGAGCTTCAAAACGGGCTGCAATGTAATCCTCAGGGTAGTAATGCACTGTCAATGTGCGTCGACTTAAAGTGCTCAACTTTGCCACTGACAGACTCGAATTGTTTTAGAAGTGTCTGACAAAGAAATAAAACATTTACTTTTCACTTGATCCACTCTGTTTATTACCGTCTCCCTGCAACAACTCAACTTGCGAGACTTCATAATGACACTTTTATTGAGCGGACTTTATTTGACATAATAACAAACAGACCAGGTCAAGCCAAAAGTTAAAAAATAAAGTTTACTTTCTTTGTCAGACACTTCTAATAACAGTCTCAGCCTGTCAGTGGCAAAACAAGCACTTTTTAGAGGGCGTACATCAATGGTGTGATGTTGCCTCAAATGTTTGCAGCCTGTTTTGTTGCTGCCGTTTCAGCCCTATCGCTCAATACTGGACCAATTTCAAAAATTGTTGCTCCCATCAGTCACTTGGACACAAAACATGGGAAAATAGGGTCCAGGTTAAAAAATACCAAAGTTTTCCTTTAAGTGGTTGATTTCACTCCTCTGTACACCTGCACAAGAAAACTCCAGCCATAATTTCACCTGTCTGTCCACTGCTGCTGATCCTTCTCTGGTAGATCCTTTGCCCACTGTCTACTTTCACTGTAGCCTTTTATCTTCCCTGCAAGACACATATTCATTTAGCATAAACTTCTCTGTAGTTCAAGTCTACATTGAAACAGTTAGTTTTTTTCTGATTTTTTTAACTGAAGCTGTAAACCTTTATGTCCTCATGTCAGGAGGACGTGACCTTCACTTACTTTCTACTTACTCGGAGTAAAAATTCCACTCTTGCTAATCCTTCTCCTTTTCTCAGTCCATCAGAAGCAGAATCATTGGTAAGACAAGGCTGAGTGTGTTTGGGCCTGGGTTAAAAGACACATGGCATGTTTAGCAGAATCTCTGTGGTAGCTGCTTGAACCTGGCTGACACAACAGATCCAATCAAATGTTAATCCAGTGCCCACTTCTCTTAAAGTTCAAACTGAGGGGGAAAAACTGTTAAATGTTAAAACAGAGGCATTTAAATTTCAATTTAGCCATGTGTGTGTTGATGGTACATGTGGAGAAGGAGAGGCAGATGACCCGGAGTCTCTAGAGCAAACACATCTACAAGTAAACACATCTCACTAATAGTGATATACGTAGTTTAAATGTAAAAGGAAGGTTATTATTACAGTTTTCTGCACTGTTAGGAAAAAGGCAAGATTATATGTTTATACCTTATCTGAAGTTATGTCAGGTTGGAGTCAGACTAATACCATGTACGGTACAGTTTCACACAAATCTTGCACCATTTCAACCGCAAACATTCAGCAGAATCTATCAAGCTTCACAATCATTACTTGCGCAGCCATGTCACACGAAACAGTGGGATTAACAAATATACATGTTATCAGCTAAAAAGGTAAAATGTGACAAATAAATAGAAGCAAATATACATTACCCCTCCATCCTCAAAATTAGCCCTAAAAACCAATAACAGCCAGCAAAGCTTCCCATGACACTATATTCGAGTAGTTACGCAAGTCCACACCTCTGGATCCATGTCTCCCCTGCTGCTTTACCACTATTTAAATAAAATATAAAAACACTTAGAGAGAGTGAACTCTCCTCGGGAAGAAAAACTGCATTTGAGTAGCTATATGTCAGTATTGTAAAGTAAATTTATGGCTAACACCATCTGTTCGTGAGAAAAAAAGTGGAGCAGCTCTGTGAAAAACACGATCCACGTCTGCAGGAGCTTGTCTCGTCTGTCAGGTGCCAAAGTACTTCACGTGTCAGCCATTTTGAGATGATGTTGCAGCTCAATGCAAACTGTGTCTGCAGCAGGGTGTAAGGCCTTGGGGAAGAGAAACAGGAGCTAGTGACAGTCTTTTTATCCTCCAGTTTTGGCCCAGCGAAAACTAAAACTACATGGTGGTTTGGTCATTACATGAGGATGAGTGCAGGGTTTGTTTGTGTGGTGATCAAGGTATCGCCACATGAATGATTGGGTAGGCACAGTGAGACAAACACCCAGGAGGTCTGGCAGAAAATATGCAGTAACAGATCATAACACTTGAGAATGTGCTAGATCGAGAATATTAAGTTGTAGAAACAGATAATACCTAAATGGACTGTATCGCAAACCTTTTCCTATGACTGATTTCATGTTAAGGTGCCGATCCATGAACACTGCCTCTCCTCCGTCACTTCTCATATTATTACAATATTCCAGTATTTGCACCAGTTAAGACATTATCCAACACTTATCATATTAGTGTGTGCACTATGCAGGGCAGCAGGAATGAAGTTATGATATATCAAAAAAGAGGCATAGGAGGGCTCAGAAGCTTGTTGGAGGTCAGATTTGGGGGCAAAGGAAGCAGCTTTGCCAGTCCCGGAGGCTGAGAGGTCAGACGTTGTTGGGGCTAACGTTCTTCAGGTTGTTGAGCTCCAGCTCCAGCTGGCGTATTCGCACGTCCTTGGTGGTCAGCTCCTCCTTCAGCCGCCGCAGTTCCTCCTGCTGCCGGAAGAACATCCGCAGGAGCTACGGGAAGAAAAAGAAAGACTTGTGCATGTAACAAATACACTTTGACAAATAAGAAAGAAAATCTGATGTTAATAGAGAGAATTTTGACACGCCTACTGTTTAGATTTATACTGTTTTCACCTGGTGAGTGTGTGAGTGTGTGTGTGTGTGTGTGTGCACCCCTACAACTATTTTCTAAAAGTAGATTATTAGGTACGTAGAGAGACAGCAGAGTAGAGATACCTCATTCTCTGTCCTGGGCGGTACATTCTCCAGCAGGTCGATCCCATTCACCACCACGCTCTTCTTTTCCTTCACTGGGGCCTTGAACACTAACTGGTTTGGTCGGTGGTAACCGTCCTTCAGAGACATCAAGACTGGGTCTGTTTGGACAAAGTACGTAAAAACTCTCATGTGAAAACCAACACAAGGCACAGAGAGGCACAAGTCCTTCACAGACCACCAGATCAATCTAGTATTGCTCTGTGTTGGTCCAACTCCCTATAACAGTGACAGATTGAAGAGATGGCAATGAAAAAGAAGTAAAGACAGTGATTGACAGTAACTGTATTTTATCGCCATGTTTTGCTGTAGCTTTGTTTTCAAATATCTGTCACGACTAAGAGATGACTTCCAGAGCATCACATCACCAAATGCAGGGTAACATGTTGGTATTAAACTTAGATCTTTTCCCTACAAATGGCTTCTGTTAAAAGGTTGTTTCATAAATCACCAAAGAAGCATCAACCAATCCAGTGTGTGTTATTTTACCTCTGTTAATCCCTCCCAGCCATTCACTTGCAGACAGCGCAGGTTCTGTCCCTGCTGTCATGGGGTAGATGTCCTCCTGGTATGTGTCTGACTGTAAACCAGAAAACACCACACACATTATTATCATATCGATTAGATTTGGCATCTGGGAAAATAACTCTTATATCAGTGTCTTAAACATATGGAGGGATATTAGGACCAGGCATAGGATTTTAAATTTTACTTTGCATTATGAAAATAAAGTCAAAATGTTGGGAATAAAATCAAACTTTCAGAAATTGTGCCATGCATAAAAAAAAAAAATGAGGAAGATTTTTGTATTTGCATTCAAGAACGCTGCGATTGTCTGCTGCTGGTTTGTTGGAGGTTCCCAGCAACAACTGGAAGAATATCGGGGATGCGGCCTTTGTCAATGACGCCCCAAAGCTATGAAACACACTATCTACAGATATCAGGGAAGCTAGCTCGCTAAATGTTTTTAAAAGAAAGCTTATCTCTTTTCACAACATTTCTACTTTATTGAGGCGGTTGTAACTCAGCTCAGGAGATTGGCTGCTTGATCCCCTGCTCCTGCAGTCAGCATGTCGAAGTATCCTGTATCCTAACTCCAAATTGCGGCTGTGCCAACAATGTGTGAGTGCGTGTGAATGTTTAAGCTGAGTAGCAGGTGGCACCTTTTATTGTAGCCTCGGCTACCAGTGTATGAATGTGTGTGGATGGGTGAATGAGGCAAATAGTGTAAAAGTGCTTCAAGGGTTGGAAGACTATATATATATGCAAAATATGGAAAACCCTGCCTTTAAATATCTGACCTGCTGGCTCAGTGGATAGTTTGAAATGACAAATTTTAAACAACAACACAAACCTTTGGAGTGCATATGGACAATAAACTGGACTGGTCCAAAAACAGGTCAGAGCTGCCTCCATTTTCTGAGGAGGTCCGTCAACATCTGCTGGACAATGCTGAGGATGTTTTATGAGTCTGTGGTGGCCAGTGCTGTCCTGTTTGCTGCTGTGTGCTGGGGCAGCAGGTTGAGGGTAGCAGACGCCAACAGACTCAATAAACTGATTCCTAAGGCCCGTAACATGGCGGGGGCGGAGCTGGACTCTCTGGTGGCAGTGTTAGAGAGGAGGACGCTGTCTAAGATACATGTTGTCTTGGACAATGTCTCCCACCCTTTCCACCATGTGCTGGTCAGACACAGGAGCAAATTCAGTGACAGACTTATTCCCCCGAGATGCACCACAGAGCGCCACAGGAAGTCACTCCTGCCTGTGGCTATAAACATGTGCAGCTCCTCCCTCAGAGTGTCTGCTGAGTCAGTAGACTGGCAACTGGACTTTATTCACCATCTGAATTTATTATTCCCAAGTTTCTCTTGGGTGCAGTTATTAAACTGCTGCAGTAGTTTTCAGTATACGACTTTATTACACACGTAACTGTACATATTTCTTATGTTTACTTTTATTCTATTCTTGTTTATTCTATTGATGTTTATATTGTAGTTAAATTTCACACTGACAGCCTCACCATAGTGACGATATATATTTTATTTTTTAATATTTTTATATCTAAAGTACTAGTGTTAAACACTGTAGCATAACGCATATTCTATTTTTTATTTTTATTTTGATGTACATTTTCATTTCTATTTTATTTTATGTCATTTTATTTTTATTTTATTGCTTTATATTTACATACTTCTATTTCTTCTCTTATTCTTCTTATAATTCACTATTCTTAACATTGGAGCAACTGTAACGAATCACAATGCAGCTACGTGTTTTAATATTTTTAAAATGTTCTTTTAATTGGTTGATTAATTAATTAATTTATTTATGTATTCTTCTTATTTCTCCTTGAATGAGTGTATGATTTTATTTCTTTGCTGTTTGGCTCTGCCGCTGAATTTTAAATCACTTTGTGCTGCATTCTGTGCACGAAAGGTGCTATATGAATAAAGTTAATTCATTCATATGTAAATGTATATATACATCTTTCTCCTGTAATGTATTTTTTCTCATGCCTGACACTAGTGCTGAAAGTTTGACTTCATCCTCAACCTTTCGATTTCATTCTTGTAATATTTCTCCTTATGCCTGGCCCAGTATTATTCCATATAAAGAAGCTTTCTTTGTTTCAAAGCATGAAATGTGACCTCTCTGCACGGGTTTGAAAAGATGTTTTATGCACACCACTGCCTCAGCGAGCACTTACTGTCCTCTTCTTTCTGTTTTGCTGCAGACCACCGACACATTTGTTCCAAAGTGAAACCAGTAAATGAAAAATTATCCTCTTGTGTTGGGATTAATTACCTCTGTCCTTGTTTGCTCTCAGCTCTGATTAGCCAGCTTACACACTGTGTGTTTCTGTTCATTACATGCCAGAATACTGTGTATCTTAGAGAAGTTGATTAAAGTCAGACAAAACCTTAATGGCTCTCTAACCCATTATGTGCTAGATGAATGTGACATATTGCAGAAATGATTAATAATGAGAGAACAGAGTAGAATCAGTTCATTTCATTATTTCGCTCACCCTTCTTGGCACAATCATGGAAATGGGCTCAATCAAACCCTTCAGGGTGACAAGCTTGTAGAAGCGGAACACCTCGCAAGCTCCCACATCCAGCCCATGCTTTGGCATCACACCTGCAGACAAAAACAAGAGAGCATGTGGTGCCACAACCGTTTTGACAACATGACATCTTCTCCCAGAATTCATGGCTATTTTGGAGTCACATCAACAGGAGAAAAACATCAACCTGCTGCAAAACGACAGCCAGAATGTGGAGCTCAGAAAACTACAGCGAGGGGATATTTAAATTCATCTGGCTCTTTTTCCCTGCAACACCACTTTCAGATGAGTGACCCCCCCCCCCCCCCCCCCCCCCCCCCCCCCCCCCCCCCCCCCCCCCCCGTCTCTAAAGACTGCTCATGAAGTGGTTTGGATGTGTCCCTCTGCTCTCAGCAAGAGAGCTCATATATTGTTCATCAACAAATGACTTACCAAGTCCTTTCTGTGGTGCCGGGGACCGGAACTCCATTAGGTATTGTAAGTACGGCTTCTCTGTGGTAATCTCAAAGTAACGGATGTTGCCGTCCCCCTGCCAAGGCACCAGAATGTGGCAATTACAGAACAGATCAACACGTAGCTCCTCAAAGTTTCAACCGTGTCATGTTTTTCACATCAGGCTTCTTAAAGGTGGAGTCAGTGATTCTGGAGAAAGACTGCTGACATTCATGCACCAGATTTACTGTCCCTCTCGCTCCCACTGTCCTTCTCTTTACACTGCACATCCATGGCCTTTCCCTGCCCTGTGCACATCATGATATTGTTGTGTGGCTCAGTCTGAGCAATTTTGTTTGTTTGTTACTTACAGAGTCATGGCTGAACATGCAGCTCTCTGTCAGTGAGGAGATATTTGCTGAATCTGACAAAGTGTATTAGGTTAGAATTGCTGACTGCACTTTCAGTGCATTAACTACAGCCTCATCTTATTTGGTGCTGTGCTCCAATTCTAAGAATAAACTGTACTGTTATAGATTTAAATTATTTCAATGTTTCTTTAAATGTTTTAAATGAAGGGAGGGCACTGATGATGAGAAAAGTAAAATTCATCTCTTTTAGAGCAACCATCTTACCAGTTCAAGACTGATATTATAAATAACAAGCATTAACAGGTGTGAAAAATGTGACTTTGCAACTGAAGTGATGACAGATAATTGAAGGATGTTTCAAAGTGTTAAGTATTGAATATTTTAACAATAACTTTTATAATGTGAATGTCACTCTGCAAACTGATTTACATTTACATACAAGATTAATAATGATATCACATTTCAGTCACCCAAACTGGATCGGGTATCTGACACAGATTGAAAAACGACCTGTAGAAACAACTTGTCAAATATTAAGGCTGCATAATATTCAAAGAAAAAAAAAAAAGATGAAGCGATATGAGTCATAATTTTTGCATTTCATTTTCACTGAAAAAGAAAAAAAAAAGATGGTGTGATTTTTCTGGGGTCTGTACTAGGTGTCAGGATCCATTGATCTGGCTCAATTGATTGATTCAATGATCCAATGTCATCGATGCAAAGTGAAAACATCAATCTATATCTCCATATTTTGGTCATACCTTTATTTTGAAAGCCTGTGTCACTGTCAAACAGAGACAGGCAGATGGCAAGCAACCGAGAGAAAGACGATAAGGATAACGTTACTTATTTGGGAATAAATCATTAGAGTGGATAGTATTGTGATTTTGATAAATATTTCTATTAATTGTGCAGCCCTATCAAATATAAGGCATAAAAACAGACATTACAAGAAACATATTTGACACTGACACATCAAATTTATCTCATACTGGTTTGACATTGACCTTTTTGCTCAGTTTATTTATGAGGCACTTCCTCCTCCTCTACATTTTTGTTGATGGGATGCCAAATGGCGACATTCTTACTAAACTATTAATGTGAATTATGCATGTATGTTGTTGTTGCTTTAAAAAGGTCATTGTTGACCTTTATAGCTTATTATTTTATTTGGTATTTGCCATATTAAATTTGTACTGATTGTTTATACCCTATCTAGTCAGGTGACAATTTCAATCGTCTCTCCTGGGTCTGTAAATGCCTGTATCTCTCCTACACACTTGTTATTATCAGCGTACAAACATCTTTAATTATAAAAAGATGAATACTAACCTAGTAGAAACCCTTCATAGTAGAAAAATTAAAGGAGCTGTATACGACATGCAGAGTGTGTGAGTCAGAGTTTGATTCAGCTGTCTACATACAGCTCTTGACATGGAATTGGCTGAGCCGGTGGCTAGCAGCTAATGGTGCTAGCAGCTAAAACAGTGCTAACAATGGCAACAGTGCTGACCGAGCTTACATTGTTAACCTGGGGGAAAGCGCAGGGTGGGTGTTGGCTTTTGTTACATGGCTGCTCCCATATCAGCGGTAACTGCCTGGTGAGTGCAGTGCAGATTGGCAGCGGTTAGCTAGCCAGAGGGACACACTGACGGGGACTCATATGCACAAACATTCACATTAAATGTCATTAACAACTCCTTTACATTTTACATCCGAATCAGGTAAATCTGATAAATACTACAGTCATGAAAAACTGTTACGACACAGATGGGGTTGGTGCTGACCTTGCCTGCCAGGTACAACATGTGCGTGTCAGCATCATAGAAGGGAAACAACAGTCCTGAGAGGCCGTCTATGTCCTCCTCCACAATTGGCATGGACAAATCCTCCTGGGAAGAGCAACACACACACACACACACACAGGGAATTAAATACACACACAGGCTCCACCCACTCTGGCATTACATGCACAAGCCATATGGAGGTGTTGTCTGACCTGATCCCAGAGAGCGATCTGTCGGGTGTTCCAGCGTGAAACCCCTGTGGTGAGCAGTCGCTTCATGTTACCCAGGAACACCACTCGGTTTACACGGTGGTTCTTACAGCTGGCTTGCTGTCGGAGCAACGCACAAAAACAAAGCTTTAATGGTACATGCACCTCAAGTTCATTCTCTAAAGTATTTTAATTATTCAGTCTTGTGACTATTATATTGTTCTGACAAGACAGAGAAAGAATATGGCTCTATAACAGGCAACCCTCCAATATCTTAATGACATAACATTTTAATTATTTAATACATGGTTTTAATAGTTACTCTATAACCTTGGCATACCAGCATCAATATTATTTTATCTAATTTTCTTTTTAAATGAAATACCACAGCCAAAAATACACCTCTGTTTCAGAGTAAATCTGTATTTCAGGTACAGAATATTTTTATGATTTGTCCCTTCTCTTTCTGTCACTTCTGCTCCTCCTGCTGATTGGTCTTGATCACCTCCACTTGGTGCACCAGCGCCACAGCACATGGGTCTAATTAGAAACCATTTCATCATAGTGATCAGGTGGCAGGATCACCAAGGTCAAACAATAAGTGGTTGAGGAGTGGTGTAGTTTTTAATTAGCAATAAAATGAAATGATGAATTATTATTGTGTAGACAGAAATTAATTTGACCAAAGTTTTGGCTTTAAAAACTGAATACGTGTCCTCATGGAGCTGGAGTCTCTCTAAAGACCTGAAGGTACAAGGCCTGCCGAAGGACTAAGGAGACAATACAGCCAAAATGATGAGTGGAGAGCCTGAACATTACACAATATTTGACTGTTAAACATCTGATTTTAAAGCCATCAGCATTAATCAGCTGCTGTATCAGCCTCCAGTCTCCTGGTTTCAGGCCTTCCACAAGATTTTTGCAGCAGGGATTTTTTTTTTCCATTCAGCAACACGAGCATCAGTGAGGTCGAGCACTGATATTGTGCAATAAGATCTGGCTCAGTGTCTCTGACCCTGTTCTTCCCAAGGGTACTGGATGGGGTTGAAATCAGGGCTCTGTGCAAGCCAGTCAGGTTCTTCCACACCAAACTGTAAACCTTTATGAACCTAACATTAGGGGTGGAGGTATGTTGAAACAGGACAGTGCCTCCTTGAAGCTTTTGTCACAAATCTAGAGGTACTCTATATCCTAAAATATAAGTATATCTAATATAAGTTTCTCCTAATTTGAACTAGGGGGCCTAAACCATGGAAAACAGCTCAACAAAAGAACACATACTTTTGTGTTTATGAGGTCACAATTAATAATTGCCTCAGTATAATCAGTCATAGTAAAGGATATTTTCAACACAAACAGTTGTCCCCTAAATATGCACACTCCCACAAAAATACCCACTCCCTCCTGCTGACCTGAAGGACGGCCCCGGAGCGTGGCTCAATGACACGCAGCTTCTTGTCTTTGCAGCTGGTGGCCAGCAGGCTGCCATCTGTGTTGAAGGACATGCTGAGGATGACGTCAGTGTGGCAGTCGATCATTTTCACCGGCTCTCCGATCTCCAGGTTCCAGATCAGGATCTGACACAGTCAGGAGGGATTGTTTGGGTGGAGCTGTTAGATGGCTGTGGTGCTTGAATCAGTGATGTTATTAAGTTGTGAGCTCATCAAAAGGATCTGAGTTTGTTTTTGTGTGCGACTACTAATATCAGACAGTATTCTCCGCTGATATCTAAAGTGAGATAAGAAGCATGTCTCATGGTTTCAACAGAGGCTAAATATCATATTCTGTTCTTTGAAAAGCACTCATCAATGCTTTATTGAATCACAAGGCTGCAACAAATCATTTTTTCTATGTAGGAACTATTTGCCTTCAACAGAACTACACCCTCCAACCGAATCACCACATGGAAGGAAGTGTGCATCTACTCATGAACAAGAGGCTTGAGCTAATGAAAGATGTAAACATAAATAGTGTCCCCCTCGGCTGAGCTGTAACGTTAGCTAGCTCGGTGGTGCTAGGTAAGCTAGCAGTCGATGCACACTTAAGCCTGATTTATGGTCCTGCGTTAAATCAACGACGTCGCTACGTCGTAGGGTAAGTGGCTACGCAGAAGGCTCGCCGTAGCCCCCGGCGTAGCCTGACGTGCACCTCCCCAAAAATGTAACTACACGTCGAGGCGAAGCAGACCCAGCGCAGACCGAGAGGGCTGTGAGTGGTTTGCTTGGTAGCAACGCGTTTCCAGTTCCATATTTCCAGATTGCGCCATCCCCGCCATCTTTAAACATCTTCTGTTGCGATGTAGATGTTGCAGTATTAAGGCCCATTTATGCTCAACGTTCAATACGGATACGGATACGGACCGATATGGACGGAGCCGTCTGTCCGTGCTCCGCGTTCATTTCTCTGTGACCGGAAAAGCCAGAAGCTAAACAAAGAATCAACTGGAGACAACGATGACCATTCAGGAAAGGAACGCAGCCTCCTACCGCTCTGGCGGTGAATTGCACCGCGACAAAATGGAGTGACGGAGAAGTTCGAAGGGTTCACGACGGTGTCACGGCAACGACGTAGGTACGTTGTAGGTACGCCACAGGACCATAAATCAGGCTTTACCTCTGCACAGTCATATGGTTGGAGAGTGTAGTTTGGTAGAGGGAAAATAGTCCATATGTGAAACTGCTCGCAGCAAGGTCTGCGAATCATCTTGAGTTAACAGGTCATGATTTCTCGAAAGAGACAGTGTTGTTGAGTTTTTCAACGTCATTTTTGGCGCTTTGAGCACCACAAGGCGAGTGCCATCTAGTTCCATTATACTGAAGAGAAGGAAAACATCTCTATGGCCGATATCTCCAACACTCAACAACTCACACCAAAACAATCTAAATCAGTAAATATCACTACAGGTAAGAGAAAAACATGTACTTTTGATTTTGGGGTGAACTGTCTCTTTAAGAATAACTATATAGAAACAGCCAGTATTCTTGCTGATGGTCTCATCTTTTTATGTAGGTCATATAGGGGCATCAGTGTTGAACTGTGTAGTTGCTGTCACTCCTGAATGAGCTAAATAACACAAATTGACAAAATATAATGAGTATCTAAGAAAGAATATTTCCTTAAACGTGTGTTTTATGTTAACTGAATCACTGTGCAGGTGATGTTCATGCTGCTGCCACTGTACAATGTTTATTCAAGCTTGGTTACTCGTCACTGATGTGGTACCTTGTAGTCGTAGCCAGCACTGAAAAGAATGCCGCTGCTGGTGGGGTGCCACTCGATCACGCCCACCCGTCTGCTGTGGCCATACAGCTCCAGCACCGCCTCCGTCATGTTGCGCCTCAGACCGCCCTCTGGGATCTCCCATACTCGCACCTGCCACGTTCACATAAACAGAGTCAGTATAAAGGAATACACAGTGTGTCTGGGTTGTTATAAAGCACACACATACACACACACACGTTTTTATAAAATGGGTCAGTAAGTATTATGCTTTTGTCAGAGGCCACTTCATATTTGTCTTTAATATAAACTACAATCAGTGTGACACAGCTAGAGATCCCTCTGATCAAAAATAGCACAGTATCAATGTAGCCCATTGCATTAGGATTAGACTGGATTACAGCGATGGCCACAGGCTCTGTGTTCGACCAGAGGAGATTATCCGTCAACAAGTGAAAGTACTATACAGGGCACAGTGCTACTATGTCTTTACTATGCTCAGCAGTGTAATGCAACAGCTGCATGCACTGGGAAAAAAAGGCCCACAGATTCCCAGTATTTGTCATGTAACATCTGAGATTAAGACTAATACTGATTACATTTGACATTGTGTATGATGTCATTTATGTAATCAGTTACTGAACAGCTAGTGTGTGTATTTCTTATTTCACACAAACAGCAACCAGCCAGGAGTGAAAAATGAAGCCGATGCGGAAGTTCCAAAATACTGCAGTTCCTCAAATGGCCACTTGAGGCTGGCTCCAAAATCCCCATCAACCTCCATTTTAAAATGCCGAACTTTACAGCAGAAATAAACATGTTTACAGCCTGGTACACAAAACAGTTACGGTCTCCAAAAACTGTATGTGAGGTGAATTTATATACAACTCTCTTGTTTACATTTCATTTAGGCTTAAAGTTAAGGTGGGTGCCGTCAGTTGACAAGTCAGTACTGTGACAACAACGATGGTTAGGTTATGTAAACATGGTGTTACCTCAGATTTACAGAGTGCAGGGGTAACTGTAGATACTTCAGTCTGTTTTCAGGTCATGGCAGTTAAGTGTAACGTTTTGGTTGCCATAAAAAAGTCTTGTTCAGTGTTTTTAGTTCTGGGTCTTTAACAGGGGTCCACAACCCCTACAGTTTCCTCAGATTTACCACAGGGGGACCCACGCAGTTATTGTTTTGTCACTAGATAGGCAGCTAAATCACTGTGTGTGTCTGTTACAGCGAGGCAAACTAGTTAGCTAGCAGTTGCGTACTGTCCAGACATACTGGCTAAGTAGCTGTGTTATTGTTTCAAGTGTGCGGACATTATTGCGGGCCATCCACCTCAGAAAAAACATGATACATAAATCTATAATTCTGCTAGTAATTATTATTTTCATATCTTAGTATTGTATGCATCATAAAGGGGTATGTTTGGCACTTAAGGTTGCTGTACATGTTGCTGTGGGTCTAGTTTAATATGCAACCCAATTTTGTACAAAATGTTTAGCAAGAGGTCTCTGCTCCATCTCTCTTCAGCTAAAGGGTCCTTGCCCTAAAAAATGTCAAAGACCCCTGATTTTGCTGTTTTTTGTTAGCAAAACTAAGCATCATCACAGCTAGCCATAGCTGTTAATGCAGCATGCTAACTAAGCTAGCTGCTAAATATAGTTATCTCTACCATCTCATCTCAATATAGTCACTTCTGGCTCCAAAAAGCAAGTTAGACAGCAAAAATACAAACTCCAGGCTTCAAAATGTAAGTCCATAAACCACTCGGTGACTTTACGATGGTTACGTCTATCATTTTTACAGTCTATGATTCCACATCTGTCATTTGCCATTTTCAGGCCACTGGCTCACAACAACAACAACAACCAGAGCAGCTGCCAGCTGAAATCCAATCACAGGCTTGTGTCCAGTATTCGATGACCTCTTTGCCTTCTGGCCCAGCGGCTGTCAACCTCAGCATCACACAGCCTCATGATTTCACAGATAGTGTGTGTTTCACATCTTCAAAGCCCTACCATCATTCAGCACCATTACCTTCTATAATCAGTCTGAGCTGACCTGTTTGGTAAAAAGCAGACGTTAAAAATGAAAGTAAGTGGGACACGTACCGAGGTGTCCTCAGAGCAGGATGCTATGATGTTTTCAAAGAAGGGATTCCACTTGATATCCAGAACGTTGCCTTGGTGGCCGCACACCTTTGGGTGATGAGAGTCCAGGCGGCCGGTCTGAAACAGAGCGAGAGGAGTACGTTATTTTACATTTTAGTGTTCCTGTTTTAGCATGTGGGTGAAAGGAATGAAAATATGAGCATATATGACAATCTACTGTACTGTGAGCTACAATATTCGCAATACTGACTCCCTGTCCACTTTCAAATCCCATCTGTGAAAACACACCTTTTTCAAGCTGGCTTATTCGGTCTGATTTAATAGAGACACATATGGTGACCTAAGATGATGATGACCTTACAGTGATGATTTTACGATTTTTGTCCAGTTATTTTGTTAACTTTCATTGTATAAGTTTATGTTTAATTACTTTATTAATCCCCCTGAGGGGAAATTCAATGTTTTCACTCTTGCTTATCAATTACACACAAGTCTGAAAGACACACATGCACACATGTGTCTGAAAGACACACATGCACAAACAGGACTATACATGCACAAAGTGGAAAGATCTCAGAGTGAGGGGGCTGCCCTTTGGTCAGGCGCCCCGAGCGGTTGGGGGATTCGGTGCCTTGCTCAACGGCACCTCGGCAGTGCCCAGGAGGTGAACTGGCACCTCTCCAGCCACCAGTCCACGCTCCATATTTTGGTCCGGACGGGGACTCGAACAGGCTCTGGTTCCCAACCCAAGTCCCTATGGACTGAGCTACTGCCGGAATATACGGAATAGTTTGATTCTATTATTATTAAATTGAGAAAAAGTAATGGATGTATGCCTTTTTTTCTTGCACATAAAAATGTAGAGTACTGTATCTGTGGTAAAACACATCACAAAAGAGCATAAATTACACAAAACAACAGTAGAAAAGAACATTTGTTTTCCAAGACCGAATCTACAATGATAACAAATGATAAAAAGAAGTAATTTATTAAATTAATTTGCTGCTGGACGCAGGTCATAAATCTGTATTCATCTACATCACTGAACAAACCTATCCTTTTTTTTTTATCAACATGAACATGAAGGACTGATATAATGTAATAACGGTGAAATCACATCAGTGAGATAACTTGATAAATCCTGAGCAAAACAAAACAGACCTGGTTATTGTGCGGGGACATCTGAGGCACATGATTGTTATTGCAATAACCCACAGAGTCCACAGAGGGGCAGTGGCTCATAACTGCAGATGACAGAAGCCTTTAATGTCGGTCATGTTGTCATGAATGTTTGATGTCACTTCAATTTACTGACCTCTTTTTTTTATTTCCTCAGAGATTTGTTTAAGAGCGTCGGGTCATGCTTCAGTGAAATCCTGTATGTGTGTGTGTGTGTGTGTGTGTGTGTGTGTGTGTGTGTGTGTGTGTGTGAATGCACTGTCCTTGCTGAACCCTGCAGATTTTCTCCAGATGCATTATCAAGCCTTAACAAACTGCAATATAATAAAATATAATAACTATAATAAAATGTCAGTAGCACCCTCACTGAGAGAATGAAATAATACATTAATACAAGCTGCCCCCTCACGCTCAAACAAGACTTTTCATTTTATAACAGCAGGAGGCGAAATGGTGAAACACAATCACACAGCTTCAGTAAGGCCCAGGGGTTAAAGTGATTCAGTGTGATTTACCCATGTTGATCAACATTAGCTTGCTACTGACACCTAGCTGACAAGTCAGATAGCCAGCACAGTCATATCAATATAATCTCAGCAACATCAATATTATCTCAGCAACATATAAAACAGATACAGTATATTAACTTACTGTATACACAGAAATAAAGCATATCAATGAATGCTTTTTCACAACCATACATAACCCGCTAAAACCAGGAAGTCTTCCCACAGAAAAATTCCTCACTTTTGCCAAAGATACTGAAGGCTCTGCTAACAAGATAAGGGACACATGCCAAAATCCATAGAGACCAGCGTCTGCCAAAATTTGACAGCAGTGAAACGGGACATCAGTTCAGTCAATAAAGGAGGAAAGGAAAAAAAGAGACAGTGTGACTAAGCAAGACAGACTGTGCATTCCAGTGTCAAATGCAGTATGCCAAAAATACCAGGATGTTTTACTGCATCCAGGCGCATTTTGCAGAGTGCAAGGCAGCATGCTGTTCTGGCTGTTCTGACCCACAATCCTCAGTGCAGCGGAAGATACGTCACATGGACTGAGCCGCAAACAGATGACAGCTCATTGACAGCTGACAGAAGCCTCAGTGACAGATGTCAGAGCATTTAGGTGAATAGTAATAATAGGAATATTAACATACATTGCAAAGGAACAACAGCTGAGCTCTCCAGGTTCATCTCCACCTCTGGTGTTTTGTTTTATCTCCATGGTAATGTGAAGTTAAAACATTATTCAAGAGGGTCAAAGTTAGGGCTGCCCCTTGTAAGTCAGAGATTCGAATCAACAGTCGGAGACCCTTCAGTCAACTCAGATTGTTTCAAGTCAAGCAGTTGGTTTTTTTTTTTGCAAGTCAGTGTGCTGTGCAGTATGGAAGCGCACTGCAGTCCTTGAATGAATAAAAAAATCGACAAATCATCTCGTAATTACGAGATCTTGTGTCGTAAATGCGAGATAAGATCTGGTAATTACGTGATCCTGATGTCATACTACAATAAGGCCTTTCGCTGATACTGTAATAACATTAACATTGGCTGATTTGTTAGTCCACTGAGAAACACAAGGATGGTACTTCTGGTCAATGTTTTTCAGAATAAAAACATTATATCTGTAGAATATGGAAGCGCATTGAGATAAGTCATAATTATGAGATCCTGATGTCATAATTACGACATAAGATCTCGTAATTACGAGATAATATGTCAATTTTTTTCATTTATTTAGTGAATGCAATGCGCTTCTGTAGTGCAACATATTTCTAGGGGACGTTTTGGTCCTCAGATTTTGCTGCAGACTTTCACACTACTCCTTAGTACAGACGGCTGCGGGTGTGATGCAGCGGCACAGAGGAGGAGAAACTTTGCGCCGTAAGACTCCGAAATAACATTATCTTCCCTCTTCTGCTTGGGAGTAGTGAATTTACAGCTCAAAGCAACTTAATACAACACAGTCTATGGCTTTTGTTTGATATCTAGTCTCTGCAAAAAAGGTTGTTACGTTGTTAGCACCATTAGCTTGTTTACTATGCACTGAAGAACCCGCTGAGCCCATTCAAACTTTACATGAAAAAACAAAACAAAAAAAAAACAAAACAAATTGTCGAATATTCACATAAATGGCCGAATCTGATTTGACTGACATAATCCCGAGCCGGGTAGCGCCCGAGTCAAAGTCCAAGCACAGTGTTATGACAAAGCTGTATGTCCAAGTTGTACTCTATAAATACTCCTTGCAACAGTGCGTACTTTGTAAGTGCAGCTGCAGTATGTACTGATAGTAAAAAGAGAAGGTATGCCATTCAGAAAGCAGGGAGAATGATTCATAAACATAATTAACTCTACTTAGCACTGAAGGCTCTTTGACATCCCTCTCCTGCACTCACATGGAAACTTTAATGTGCTCATAGATGTACATGTGCATATGTAAATTCAAGGAAAACTGTTAAAAACAAATGTAAAAAAAAAAAGACTAGCGAGGCTAAAGCCAAGCTTTAATGACACATTATCTTTTTTCTATAAATGTTAGAGTGACTGGGAGGTTTTAACAAGGCCTCGAAACATTAATAACATAGGATCTAAGGGACTCCTTTATTAAAGTGGAGCTAATTATGTGCAAAGAAATCATGTCTGTTGGGAATCACGGGGTTCATGAGGTGTTATGAGGAAACTAGAAACTGCAGTTTAACATGATATAAATAAAAGTTGCAGTATTTAATGCCTCCTCTCTACCACACGAATAAAAATAAAACATATAAATGAAAACAGTTTTGTTAAATGAATAACTGGCAGAAAAGAAACAAATGTACTTTCTCATTGTCTTCCTGCAGCTCATTTCCTCAGACGACTCTAATGGTGACGCACAGATGTGCGGGCCGGGTACCAGCAGCTCCACTATGCCACAGGTACCACACTGTGATTGCTACCAACTCTTATTGATCTGTACTTCCCAATAAATCCTCATAAACAAGACTTACCACTGCTGTTCTACAGTTACAGTATTACTACACTACATCTGATTATAATGGCAGCATTTTATGACTCCTCTGGCTATAATATGATACAACAGTAATAATGTGAATGAATGAATTACAGAACAGGAGCGTTTCTTCTCTTAAGAGTTCACTGTTGTTGCGGCTACACATCAGTGCTGCTGCATGCTGATTCAAGAGGCAAAAGATGCTGAGTCATGCTTATTATGTTCAATTGATATTCTGGTGCTCTGGTTTATCAGATGTTAATGGTCCAGTGCATGCTGTTGGTGCTTTGATATGCAGCAGCAGCATGGTCTGCAGTGTGGTCACTGGATCACTGCTGGCTTGTGTCTGACTCTGCAGCAGAGCTGTTTGTAATAATGACCCCAGTGATGGTTTAACTTCATGGTCTTAATATGTTGGCAATTTCCTCTCTACATATGCCATTAAAACATGTACGTACACTGTCAATGAATCTATACAGGTGATTTTAGAATCAGCATCTGTTCATATAACATATTGCATTAAATCCTGCTGGTGATCAACCAGCAGTTGAAATAAACCAGCCCTGTCACCAGAAGAAAAGGTTGCCATTTTACGTTTATGCAAACCAAGCTTACGTTATATTTGCACATTTTTATACGTATCATCTCAACATTTGTGAAGTGACATAATATATAAGCTGAATTCGTCATTGGGAGGTGGAAGGAATTGTGGACGGCGTGACATGTGGGTGAGACGCCTGCCAAGCAGCTGCAGACTACTGTTCAAGACCAAAAAAAAAAAAAAAGCGATTCAGCGAGACATTGCTGTGTTCCCAGCGGCTTTTAAGAAGAAAAATGAATATATAGTTTATTGCTTTTTTAGAGCATAGAAAACAGGCATAGCACATTATATGTAACAGTGGCCACAGTCAGAGTGATTAGTACAAAGAAGTAGTAGTAAAAATTAC